TGGTGACCTGTTATAATTGTTATTAATAAAATAACGATCTCTTTCAATCAACTTTATTTTAGACCTCGCTTAAAAAATTCAGTATAGTCTGACAGGATGTTTTAAGCCTTTCAGAACTCTGGTATAGCATCTCTAGTGTCACACGTACGTCTCAGCGTTTGCACGTCTCATCAGTACCATATGCCCTACTGCTCACCTCTACTGCTAATAGCAGCGGTGCCGAAAATGTACCAATTTAGACGAATGAATTAACCTCACTCAATGTTGCTGTCTGTTCTGATTTCCAATTGATGACTTGCAGCTTCTACGGAAGGACATATCAGTACCTATGAAGAGCTTCCTTCCGTAGAAGCTGCAAAACATTATGTTAGACGATACTGAATTTTTTAGCGAGGTCTCAGACGTAGTCAAATTGGAGGGTTTTGTTATATGCTTCTGTAACAGCCGTGAGTCATCGACTGAAACTCATAGACCTCAACATCAAGTGACATTATTTCAATCATCTAGGTTGATATGTTTTCGGTGCCGCTGCTATCAGAAGGGGTGTGAGCTATAAGGCATATGGTATTGATGAGGTATACGAAAACGTCGAAGCTTACGTATACCACTATAGTTGCCATACCAGACCTCTAACAGGCAAAATATTATACCAAACAGTGAAACATACGTGATATGTGTGTTTCAGCTATTGTTGTTACACGGGTCTTTTCAAGCTGAGATCGTATATCATTGTCACTTTTCACCATCTATTCAGTTTCAGATGGGACGGTGTCCGTGATGTGCACATTTGGCAGTGGGAGACTGGTCACGATTTCTCCTCCGCTATCCAATCTTTCAATTGTGGTACCAATAATTTCGTGAAAAAGTGTGTTCTGTGTTGCGCAACATATTCAGTCATCTTACTAATACTTTGCTATAGTTATATCTTTCGCCGGTTACGATGGCTTGGGAGCAAATCTGCCTCTCACATCGTGACACTGGGTTACCTTGCAATTTGGCACGGTTATCATCTTGGATATTTTCTCCTCTTCTTTTTCGAATTCGGATGTGTGACTGCTCAGGAACAAGTGAGAATTTTTCTGCATTGTCTGAGTACCTGGGGGGCGCTATGGTGAGGTATGTTTGTGAAGTTTTCCGTGTACATTGACCTATTGATAATTACAGCTATACTCTTTGATTGAATGTATTCCGTATTGGAGTAATTTGATTGCGAAGCCAGCCATAAGACCATTCGTATGGCTATTCGGTCGCCTTACCATCATGTACAGTATGGGGTTCGGATTTCTGTGTTTTGGCCTTCTCAAAACAAAATATTGGATTGGGGTGAGCATAACTATATCTTGTTGGGAATTTCATGTTTTGCGACCTGAGACTATTATTTTCATACACATTTCAGCCACTCAAATCACTCTACTTTATCGGTTTTCTCGTATTTTTCGTAGCATGGCCAGTTGTTTATCATTCATCGAGATGGTTAATGTCGAATTACCAAAGGAACGTTGATAAACAACAAACTCAGGCTAAATCAAACAGTATATCAAAAAAGGAGTTGTGATCAGGAAACAGTTAGCTGTATTGTTTTGTTATATTTCATAGGCATGCATTGGTCATTTTTCAAAACTGTGATAGTGTGAATTGATAGCAACTTTAGTGTGATATATTGTTTGCAAAGGTTTTTACACTTCTCAAGCACTTATAGATCTGAGGTTTAGTCTTCTTTATTAGCAGCGTTTTGTTACCTTGAAAGTTGTTATTGTCAAGTTTTCCATACCATTTTGTTCCCATGATAAATTTTCCCCCCATTAGTGTAGTTTGTTTTTCTATGTAGTTAAAAACAATTCAGAAAATAGTGCTTTTTCTTGGTTTTATGCATATGATATATATATATATATACATATATCTATATATATATTTATGCATATATACCTTTCATCGATATGCATATGCATATATAGAGTTTACAGACAACGGACAGCAAGCAGATTAGGCGATAATTGCCTATGTCGTGAAGGTCTTCCTTTTTGAGCAACAATACGGTCTTGCTGGTCGTCCATTGAATAGGAACCTTGTTGACAGGTAGCGAGTGAAGCCGAGCGAGGGTTTAATGTAATATGATGTATACATGTACGTATATATACATATATAATATATATGTATATGTTATATATATACATATATATATATGTATATATATATATATATATATATATATAATCTGATAATGACATAACATGTTTTGAGCCTTCTGTGGTGTCTGTTAGGACATACGTACATTAATAGATGGGCTCGTTTCGCCCTTGGAGGCTCATATGTAGCACATGCGTTTCGCTTCAGCCGATTCTTTGGTATACGCTTCTGTTATAAAGGAATCACCGCCGAGTAACAAATATATACGCATATGCACATGTATATCTGAATATATATTTATATATGTGTACATGATTTATCTACATTTATACTTCTGTATATATAGATACGTAAATAAATGTAGATCCATCTCATAGATTGTTTTAACCTTGCTGTATGCATTCCTTATAATCTATAAGAATGTTCAAAACCTTATTGAGGTTGTTACGTCAGAACCATACTCGTTTCGGAGGTATCCCCCCTCACCAGTGGGGTATCCCCCCACCACGCCTCACCCTGGACTTTACAGTAGGGATGGGGATACGTATGTTATAAGACGTATAACACAATAAGATGTGCTATCACCATTTCAGTCTATGGGCTGCGAGTGGTAGCTATAACTTGGCCCATCTCATCGACTCGAATAATTACTTATACTACTCGAATTAAGTGAATTATAAGTACTCGAAGTATGGGGTGCCGGAATTTGATTCATTCATTCGGTGAGACGTTTTTCCTTATTTTTTCACCTGTTAATCTCGGTACTATCGAAAGACTGGTGATTTGTAATCTAATGGATAAACATGTTATTTATCTGCTTATTTCAAATCATCAGGCGCTAGTTATTTAGAACTATATACGTTTGCCATCAAGATAATTGATACTTACAGCTGTTTTCTAGCTTTCTAACGAAATTTTCGCCATAACCTTCAACATGACTATGAATAACAAACGTTCATAATTCATCCATTATGGTCGGCATAAGGATTTTTCTTGTTTTTTTATTTTTTGTCATCTCGGAAACGGCCTCGTTGATCGTGTCTTGGACGAAGTAGTTGAACCATACCGTGCTTATGGAATGCAAGAGGAAGAAATCGTGTGCGTAAGCGCTATGATTGTTCTCAATCCAAGTATGTTTTGTCAGTAGATATATTCAAATTAATAGATGAACCTGCCGCCAGTTCTCATCAACACCCTGGCTCGGCTCTTCACTCGCTACCTGTCAGAATGCAAGGTCCCTTTTCAATGGAAAACCAGCAAGACCGTATTGTTGTTCAAAACGGGAGACCTTCACGACATAGGCAATTATCGCCCAATCTGCTTGCTGTCCGTTGTCTATAAACTCTTTACTCGAGTCATCCTGAACAGGATTGACAGAACACTGGACGAAGGACAGCCATGCGAACAAGCAGGGTTCAGAAAAGGATTTAGTACCATGGACCACATCCACACGATCACAAGACTCATTGAAGTTTCGCGAGAGTACAAACAACCACTCTGTCTCACTTTTATCGATCTGAAAAAAGCCTTTGATTCAGTGGAAACAGAAGCGGTTATAGAGGCTCTGGATAACCAGGGCGTCCCTACTCGGTACATAATGATCCTTCGTGAGCTTAATAAAGATTTCACGACCAGAATATCTCCATTCTACAACAATATCACCATTGACGTAAGAAGAGGGGTTCGACAAGGCGATACAATATCGCCAAAACTATTCACTGGCACCCTACAAAACGTCATGCGAACATTAGAATGGGACGAAATGGGAGTGAAAATTGACGGTCGACAATTAAACCATCTTCGCTTTGCTGACGATATCGTTCTCATAACACCAAACATCAGCCAAGCGGAACGAATGTTGACTGATTTCGATAACGCCTGTGGAAAGATCGGTCTTCAACTGAATCTAACGAAAACAATGTTCATGAGGAACGGATGGGTTTCTAATGCCCCATTCACGCTCAACGGAACGACAACTTCCGAATGCTCCAGTTACATCTATCTAGGTCGTGAAATCAACATGATGAACGACCTAGCCTCAGAGTTGAGCAGGAGGAAACGAGCGGCTTGGGGAACGTTTAAGAGCATCGAAGATGTAGTGAAGAGGACAAAGAACATCCGACTCCGTGCCCACCTTTTCAACTCGACAATTATCCCTGCCCTAACGTATGCAGCAGAAACCTGGTCGCTACGTAAGCAGGATGAAAGATCACTTGCCGTTATCGAACGCGCAGTCGAAAGGTCGATGCTAGGAGTATCTCGTATTTCGCAAATGAGACAAAGGATCCGAAGTTCCGACCTACGTCAACGATCGAAAATCAGAGACGCCGTTCTACACGCCAGGATATCGAAAATAAGGTGGGCCGGACACGTGATGCGCTTCAACGACAACCGATGGACGAGAGCCGTTACCGACTGGATTCCTCGGGACGTCAAGCGCTCTAAAGGAAGACCACTGACCCGTTGGTCCGATTTCTTCACGAAAGCGATGGAAGAAAGATATGATGCTCAGCGAATTCCTAGAGCAAGGAGGACCCACTGGGCTTCTCTTGCACGCGATAGGGAAAAATGGAAGAGTTGCTGGTACCCGCTCGAGTCACTCGACGATCAAAGGGACGACAGGTGATACAGGTGAATGTATCTGTTAGGAACCAATCTTTACGGGTTTGGTCGGGTGAGCACATATTGACATTTAACCCAGTAATGCCGACAGCTATTCGGTATGTAAAATCTGAATGAAATGTTTATTCTTACTGCATCTTAGTTGTGGAATAATGTCATGAAAACTTATCTAAGAGTACCACTCAGACCTGCTGAAGATTTATTACTGAAATTACGCTGGGATGCCTCGAAGAAAGAAAGGTAGTAGAAGTGGTATTGTCAGTGTAGTGGTAGTACGCGCTTCTAATATGAGTGGAGCGCGAGTTCAACTCCCGCCACATGTCGAATGTGTTGCATATCGTTCAGTACTTTTAGATACGTGTCTATAACATCGCTCCACTGTTGCGAAACGTATAAATAATGAACTCATTAGATTACAATAACAAAATCAGCTAGGTAATTTCATCCTTGAATTGTGTGTTTTCTCAAGTGCTTATCGCCACCACTTTGTAGATATTTCTGCCTTTTCCAAACACTGCTACTTTGGACACAGCCAGGACATTTGTCAGAGGTGCCATCCAGTGGTGGGCGAGTCATTTGTTGATCTCGCACACGGAATAGTCAAACATCTCATTCTAAGTTCCATGAGTTGTACCATGCTTGTTTCCTTGAAGTTCCTCGTGATCACCATTGATTGGCATTTATCAGTGGGCAAAAACTTGTAAACCCCCCAACAGAAATATTCTAGGATTTCAGGAAAAATCGGTACTACCGGTATTCAACCATAATCATGACGTCGGCCAGATATTCTCAAACCGCAGTCAAAATCATGCCTGAACCTGAATGCTTCGATAATGACGAATGCGTGAAAACGATATAATAAAGCGCTATAATCAATACAGTATGATGGCGAAAGATATCAAAAAGTAACTTTCATTTATCTTGGCATAAATATTTGATAGTTTCAATCTATGACAATCCTTTTTCTGTATTTTTTTTTGTTTTTCTCTGTTTTTCTATAGCGGTATCATAATGTTCTAAATATATGTCTATCAACAATTAGCCATATGCAAATCCTAATCCTCAGGCAAGATTTAACCTGAGCTTCACCCTTACCAGGAGCGCGGGCTAGTCACCGCACTGCCGAGGTTTCCGACATGCTAATAAGTGCTTAGCAGACCAAACTCGTTAACAAACGGATGCTAACAACTTCAGATTATTATCTCGTAGAAAGAGTGATTTCAGTACGGGAGCCTCAGTGGCGTAGTGGTTAACACATACCTTTGGTATGAGTGAAACTCGGGTTTAACTCTTTCTAAGTTCAAAATTTCGCAAGTTTTTCAGTTTAGATAGAAATTTGCTAGTTTTTTGATTCAAGCATATGAATCCGAAGCATGAGCAAAACTGAAAGTATAGGTTTCTTCAAACACATGATTACTGCCGTGGGCTCATATATTACTCACTGCATCAATGAAGTCCTGACTCTGCTAGCCTCAGCCATGTTTTGATCTTATCTATCGGTGTGAACAAATTTGAAATTTGTATTTTTCGGATCATTAACGTTACACGAAGTTGTTGTAAAGCTTATTCAGCTAACTTTTTGTCATATATCCCTCTTTCGGAGCCTTATAATACGAATTCTTGCAATATATATATATATATATATATATATATATATATATTAATTTTCATGGAGGTTATATATATATATATATATATATATATATATATATATATATCGTTTCCATGAAAATTAATCGAATTTAATGGTTAACGACTAGCAACCGTGCTGTGTAAAAAGGCACGCCCAGAGAGGTTATTTATTCGAGCCGTTCCTTACTTCAGACTATACTCCTCGGTGTGACTACGAGGACTTACATCACGTGGATGACAACCTATGGAAGATTGACTGGAATCACTGCTGTTGTGAAGAAGCCGAAGGCGCCGAAAGATTAGCGGAATATTTTTTAATGATAACCTCGCGTTAACTCAATAATCTAAAGTATCTATACTACTAGGACACTTGGAGTGGACGGTCCGTCTTCACCAGTTGTGCGGACCCCAGCACATATTGCACTCGTCCCTTTGCTGCGCGACAGTCGTCCATGACGGTAGTCTAATTTGAGCATGGAGGCTGCTGCGAGTGTCATACCGTGATCTGAAATCGTCGGCAGCTGCAAGTACAGCTCCTTAATTCTTTTACCGAACACGTTCGCCCAACGTGTAGGTGGTCGTGCTCTAGGATGCGTACATTGTCGTGGAGTTCACAAAACAGTTCTTTTCGTCCATCTGTCGCCTGTTTTTCTCAGAATATAACAGGCTCATCCGTGTTTCGCTATAGATGTATAGACCTCTGGGTTACAAAGATGGGATAGACTCAAAGATTTGAGCTACGCAAGCCGGCCAGATGTTGTGTGCGCCAGCTAATTTAAGAAGTATATTAAGTATTGTAAAGTAAAAGTAAGCATTATAAAGTATTCATGTTGGATAATTCAAATAAATTATTCTGTTCTTTTTGTGTTAGACGCTGACAAATGGAAATCCATTACTCTACTGCATTGCAGAGAAACGGTTTTTTTCAGAAAACAAATACACCCCTGGAATTGTTGAATTTTGCGCTATCTGGAGATCACATCACTAATAGTTTGAAGAAGAGCTCTGTCCTGCAAGAATCGAACGCGTGTGAAACACAAATGTTTTCCATTTGCTAAGAGCTCGTGATCACTTTTTTCAAAAAATGGCTATTCAAGGCTTTCGTCAGAGATTTAAACTCTCAAATGATTTAGAAAACTCTAATGTGAAGCTTTCGTGCAGCGAAATTGATTGGCTTCCTACTTGTCGCCGTTTGACATCAAAGAACTTAATATTATTCTATTTTTGTATGAGTTATGAAGGTTTTCCTCTGGCAAGATTTTTGAATCTTCAACAGCTTCTTGAATTAATCATTCCATAATAAATGGAGCTTTGAGGCCAATTCGTCAGTTCTAATTGCATTGCCATATAAGTAATCATATAGGAGCTTTAAAATCTCAGGCAGTACGGCGCGCAGTCCACATCAGACAAATAAACAAAGAACGGCTCTCAACTACCACGCTCATTGATTGATTGCACCATGTAATCCCGAACTATTAGAAGTACAATCCAGAACCATTAGAAACATAAGTAGTAAGTAAAAGTTTGAAAAATGCTACTTCTTTTGTTAATAGCACATTGTGTATAACTCTTAATGATACTTCAGAATTTCACTCGGTAAATAAGCAGCGAGAATTTGTCTGCCTCCTGTAGTCCCGTTGATCGTTGACAGACTCGCGCGGGCACCACAAACACTTCCATTTTTCCCTATCGCGTTCAAGAGTGGCCCATGGGTCCTTCTCACATTAGGAGTTTGTTGAGCATCATATCTTTCTTCTCGCCTTTTTGTAAAAAATCGGACCATCAGGCCTTCCTGTAGAGCGTTGATATCGGAATCCAGTTGGTAACGACCCTCGTCCATCTTGATGTTGGAGCGCTTCACGTGTCCGGCCCACCTTATTTTCGATATCCTGGCGTACTCAAAGGCGTCTTTGATCTTCGATCGCTGATATAGTTCGGAACTCGAATCCTTTCTCTCACTAGCGCGATATAGGATTGTTCTAGCATCGATCTTTCAACTGCGCGTTCAGTAACGCCGAGTGATCTTTTATCCTGCATACCTAGCGAGCAGGTTTCTGCTGCAGGCGTTAGGGCAGGGGTAATCGTCGAGTCGAAAGGCGGACACCGAATCGCATGTCCCTCTTCACTACATCCTCGATGTTCTTAAACGTTCCCCAAGTCGCTAGTTTCCTTCTGCTCATCTCAGGAGCTAGGTTGTTTTCATGTTTATTTTATGACCTTGACATACGTCATTGGAGCAATCGGAGATGGTCGATTTGTTGAGCATGGATGTGGCACTCAAAACGCCAGTCTTTCCACATTTGATTGTCGACCGTCAATTTTCACTCCCATATCTTCCTTTCTAATGTTCGCATGACGTCTTGGAGGGTGGCAGTGAATAATTTTGGCGAAATCGTATGGCATTGTGAACACCTCTTCATATTTCGATGGTAAAATTGTTGTAGATTGGCGATATTTTAGTCGTGAAATCTATCTTCATATAGCTCACGAAGAATTATTATGTACCGAGTGGGAACTCCCTGGTTATCTGGAGCCTCTATAACTGCTTTTGTTTCTACTGAATCAAAGGGTTTCTTCAGATCGATGAAAGTGAGACAGAGCGGTATTTTGTATTCTCGTGATACTTTAGTGAGTCTTGATATCGTGTGGATGTGATCTATGGTACTAAATCCTCTTCGAAACTCTGCTTGTTCGCATGGCAGTCCTTCGTCCAATGTTCTATCAATCCTGTTTAAGGATGACTTGAGTGGAGTGTTTGTAGACCACGATCAGCAGCAGATTGGGCGATAATTGCCTACGTCCTGGAGGTCTCCGTTCTTGAACAACAATACGGTCTTGCTGGTTTTCCACTGAATGGGGACCTTGCATTCTAATAGGTAGCGAGTGAAAAGCCGAGCCAGAATGTTGATGAGAAATGGCGGTAGGTCTTCCAGGTGTTCTGGTTTGATCCTCTCTAGACAAGGTGTTTTTCTACTCTCCACCGACGATATAACATGTTGACTTTTGGAAGAAAGGACCGGTGGATCGACAGATCATCTTCTTTCAATCTATACGACGGTAAGATGACATGACTAACGAAGAGATCTGAGTAATAGTGATGGATGATTTTCTCCATGGCTCTTGTGGGAGGTGCAAGTGTCCCGTGAGGACGTCGGACTGCTATCATCTTGTTCTTGTAGTTGGCGAAGCTTCGCTGAACTTTCAAATGCTTTTCCCATCTTCTGCGACTTCTGCCTTGATTGCTGCTCGTCTCTGTATGACGTCCTCTTTCATCGCTTCTCTGCAGCGTTGCAAGTTAGGGCGCAAGGTTTCGATTCCTGTAGCTCGTGCAATTCCACTTTGACGTATCAGCTCAAGTGTTTGTGAAACCAAGCGTCTCTGTTACTTTAGGACTCTCGGCTTTTATGGCGCTGACGTGGAGATATTCAACGAGCCGATCATATTCTTCGTCGATGTTGTCAACGACGTTATCTTCCCAAAAGCCGATTAATGATTTGAATACATCCCAGTTTATGGTAGTTCTGTGACTATGTTTTTGAATTTGGCGGCTTTCTCTTCTTTCCGCGAAAAACAGAACGTTACGCGAAGGAGCCGTTGGTCTGATCCCGTGTAGAACTTAAGAACAACAGCGATATCGTTCAGGCAAAACCTTCGCGTAACTAGGATATGGTCTATTCGTTATAGTGCTCTCT